TAGAAATCATAGAAGAAGAAAAAAGCAGAACATGCCTAAGATTTATCAAAGCTAGTTCTCCTCCTCGCATTACGTCACGCGAGAGAAGTTTCAGTCGGTTGCAATCTGCAGCCTCACCACTAGACGCCGCCAGATCCAACACACTGTACCTTTAACTCATTGATCTCTCTCTCTCTCTCTCTCTCTCTCTCTCTCTCTCTCTCTCTCTCTCCGTCTCTCAGTGCCGTCCGTGATGCCCGGTGGGTTCGCCGCCAAAGGCTGGTTGATAGGACTCATCAGCGCCATCCTGCTGCTGGTGCTGATCCTGCTCATCCTCTGCCTCATCAAGCGCAGCAAGGGCGGCAAATACGCAGGTGGGACGGACAACACACTCACACGAGCGGCTAATCACACACACACACGGGCACATCCAGACTTCACTCTGTCGTCAAGAGTTTGATGTTGAGGGTTTCTTATTTTCCCCACAGTGAAGGACAAAGAAGACAAGGAGGTGGACTCTGAAGCTCGGCCCATGAAAGATGAGACCTTTGGAGAGTACAGGTGGGTTCAGCCTCTCTCCGAGTCTTTCCCTGAAGGATGCGAGAAACACGTCATCATTAACACATCATCACATCATCGTGGAACATTAGTTGAGTCTATTGCACATTGTAAAGCTGACGCTTCAATGTAGATTTGTTTCATTTTCAAATCAAAGCAGAAATCAGATCTTATGCAACGTTCTGGTTGATTTCAAGAGTTGACCGCTTCAGCTGTTCTGTCTTCAGGCCGCTGATGTTCCTGCTTTATGCAAAGATTCGATTGGATGCATTGAAACACGTTCGTTATCAACGTAGACGGAGAACTAATGGTGTTCCAGTCAATTGTGCACAGATAGGGGGCGCTGTCATGAAAACTGAACTACAACTAAAATGTCTCTCTTCTTTGGTTTCAGATATTTCTATGAAAAGAGAACATGGGGCATGTGATTTAAAGAGCAGATATTATGCTGTAGCATACGGCCTATTAAAGCTATTGTAGGTAAAAAAGAAAGAAAGTAAACTACGGAGGAATAGGGGGAATATTCCAAGAAATAAATCTGAATTGTATCAGTTGAAGTAATAATATATGGAGATATTCTTTGAGATTAAAGTAGGAAAATGTACGAGGAAAAACTTGAATATTCTCTGAGATCATAGTCAGAAATTGTGCAAAACCGTTGTAACGGCAGTCAATGTTTTTGTTTCTTTCTCGTAAATTAATTACTTTAATCTCAGAGAATATTCAAAAAAATATTCGTGTGAATTTAACATTTTAATCTCGGAAATTCTGAGTGTTTTTTTGGTAAATGTACTTTAATCTAGAAAATTCTTAACTTTTCTCTCTGAATATTTCCCAATGATATTTGATTTAAGTTGGACTTTAAATGTAACAGCGTAGAAGCAAAAAGTAGCAAATAAAGTACCTCAAACTTGTATATAAGTACATTAAATGTACTTTACAGAGCAGAGAGGGAAGAGCGCACTGCTTTTAACATGTGGACTCTGATGCACGTCCTCACTAACACCCCCACTGGGAACATGTTCCTCCTCATCCCACTGCTTCAAATATTAATGACTTTATTTTGGAATGAAATGCACTAATGCTGCTCGCTTCATTTGGTCTTTGGCTCTAACTCTCCCGGCTCTCTTTCCTCTTTTATCTCTCACATTCTTTTCTGTCTGCAGATCTCTGGAGAGGTGAGGAAGTTAACCGCCTCTTTAACTCTAACATGCATATCTCACTTCTTTGTGCCACTCTGTTGTGTGTTGTGATGGTGTGTGATTAGATTTGATTGATCCTGTTCAACAGTTATGTGTATTTATAGCAGTGTAGTTATGTGATGTCCTTATTCCATCAGTACAGTCAGAGTCATGTCATGTGTTCCACTTGTAGGCAGGCCTTTATTGTGAAAAACCATCAGGAAGTGTTGTTGTTAACAGTAGCTTAGCTTAG